AAAACCTCGTTTTCGGACCAAGATTGGAGGAGTATCTTCGTTGCGCACTTATAATTGATCTACCGTAACAAAAAAAAACACGCTGCTCATTTGAGATTCCAGCCGTTGCAAAATCGCTGGAAACGTTCAACGCCTTTCCTGAACAAAAAGCATGGAATGGGCCCAGGGTAATTGGATGTTGGCACGTGCCGCTGGAAGCTTTGGCCGGCTGGCGTGTGTGAAAGTCCGATACAGTCCGGCTCAGCACAACAATTTCAAACTGGTTGCCAGTTGCCAGCTTCCTTCCCAAACTGCCGTCTACGATGCAGACAGCATCTTTCGAAGGAACTAGTGCCGCTTCGCAAGACAGGACAAGACAGGTTGCTTCAGAACTTTCCGATGCCAGGTCCGACAACCAGGGTCTGAATTGTCAGGTACGCCGCACGTATGTCAGCAAGCACGAAGAGATACATCGAAAGACGCATACGCTCAGTTTCTGTGTCCAGGGCAATAGGAGTCTTGTTCCAACGAGCATGCAACTCAGCTGGAATGCGAACTCGTATCGAACTAGATCCGGCTGAGACAACCCGATCTCCTACCAGAGCTAGTACAAGTTGCACAAATCTGTTGAAGTGGACTGGCCTTAGCTGAATGCTCAAAATCGCATGACGTATCCGTCTCTCCTCACAGCCAGCAGAAGCCAGGTCTACCCTTTAGCCACAGTCCTCCATTTTCATTCGCGGACGACAGCATGCGGCAGCCAGGCTGGTTCCGATCCGCTCCACTACCATAACCAGTGACATGGCCTGTGCACCCCATTGTGCACATGTGACATTTGGCCACGCTTGCCTCTGCAGTCATGGACAACTCCTGACTGAGATAGCGACGAAAAGCATATTAAACGTCCCGAACCATGGCTTGTGGAAGACCTCTGCTCGGCCGTCCTTATCATTCCGGCACTAGCAGAACAGGCGTAGGTTCATGTAGGATATTTGATGGATGACGCTGTCAATCTTAGTGGTCAAACAGTCTTGAGCTACAGTTCTCATTGCTCTGAAACCTATCCATCACTTTCCATCCTTCTATTAAGTGTGCTTGCCCAGTCCAGCCCTACAGATTCAGTGCCTGCAAAGTTTAGATAGCGTTTAAAAAAGCTGGAGCATGACCCGTGCTATATTGTCGAGTGGCAAGGCCGATGCTCGTCAAACCAAACTGAACCTTTGTGGCCAGTGTGTTGACAGTGCCCGTCAGCAGCATTCCAGCGACGTAAATTGCCACCAGCCATGCAGGCGTTTTCCTCAGTTCTTTCCCAAGCCAAGTCAAGATCTGCTCATCAACAACTGATGCGTCGGCCACACCGCATCTAAAACAGACAAGGATCTTTCGGGCTGCCATGGTCAATGGTGCAGACCGCCGTGAACCAGAAAGTCTACAATGAGTACTCGGCAGTGTTCTGTCAACTTCTTAGACTTTGGTTGCAAGCCTGCTTCTAGCATTAGCTAGCCAACCTGTCATGAACACGAATTCTCGGTGATGCGTCCTGCTTCGAGCTATCTTGAGCTGATGCCATGCCAATTCCAGGTAGGTCTGCGACACAGGGACAGCAAAGCATCACGATTCCGAATGGATTCGGAATGGTTAGGGCAGTCCACGGTCTTAGGTAAGTCCCCCTGAGTCCAGACTTGACGCTTGCTGTGGCTGAAATTCGGCCCACGAAGTCAAGCCAAGGCGCGCGATGGGAGATTACTCCTCCAGCGTCGGGCCTAGGCCAACTGCAGCTTGCTTCACCTTGCTTCCAGTTTCCAAGCGCAAACTTTGACCAGGTTCGCTGCCAGAGCTTCTGGCGGCAGCAAAGGCAGGATTTCTCCAAGACTGCACAGTAGGGCTGCGAGCTTCCAATATCCATGTGCAGCGACCGTGGCACTAAGTGCATTGCAACTTGGATTTGCATCTGGGTTCCATGTTGGAGACAAGTCCAGGGCTGCTGGCCATGAGTCTGGATTTGGCCAGGTTTGACATGTGCCAGCCTACAAGCTGCCAGCACAAACGTGCTGCAAGCAAATGTGTGAAGTTTGATTGAGAAGGCCATTTGGAAATGTTCCTAGGCTCGAATGTTGCGGGCGCATGGTTTTGTTACTGTTTTGTTGACACCTGGTTGTAGGATTGGGACTTGCAGCGAAGCATGGTATGAGTACGCCAAGCGAGACGCTGTCGCTGTTTTCCCAAGTTGTACATACGAACACGGTGAGCAACTGCTGATTCTTTGAATGCAGAGAATTCCAATGTGGGAGTTGGAGCCAGGCTGGCCTTGATCCCTGTCTGGAAGGAAAACGAGTTTGGCCCTATCATGGAACCCCTCAGAGCATTGGTTGTGGTCCGGAACAGGTGTGGAAGGGATTGTGCAGCGAAACTCATTTTGCAGTTTGACTAGTGATTAGTGATTAGGGCAAGGCACGAAAGGGCCTGGATTGGGCATGATCCATAGGGCCATAGGGGCTCGAACAGGGGATGGAACGGAGCGGCCCGTGGCCATGTGGGTCGGAAGTCAAAATGCATGTATGTAAAATATGATGGAAGTGCGATATGAGGGTTCCGCTCTTGCCAGGTTAGTTTTCGCTACAAAGCGGCACTATGCGGATATGTAGGTTTCGGGCTCTCCCCCATGTACGCGCGAGGATAGCGTTAGGGTGGCGCCAGGTACATGTCTTCCCTTGATCGCAAGGCCTATGGTATTGTTTCCAAAGATTTCTCAAGGATGCTTGCGTGCGAAAAAACTGGCCATTCGGCTTGTAGCTTAGGGGAACTGGAGTCGAGGACATGGCTTGGCAAAAGGAGGAAATTCGCACCTGTAGGACCGATCTCAAACCTTTACTAGTCCCAGAGAATGACATTGTCCAGATGCGCTGTAGTGTTTGCTCCAGATACATACTGCCGGCGGGCCAAACAAAATCTAAATCATGAGGCGAAATATGCGTTAGGTTGGCGCTAGCATCGCGCTAGCCAATACAAAGGGAAACCGCCTGCTGTGACCACTTGGCCATCCAAGACATAAAGCAGCACTAAGACATCTGATACCAAAATATTCCAAACATGGCCAGCGTGGAAGAGCTGGCGGAGGCTATACTCACCATGGTCGCGATGCGTACTACCGTGCTCGTGGCAAACGGATCTTTGGAACAAGCAGCTGTAGCAGCCAAAGGTTCCGGGGCTCGCAAGCTGCAAGGGCCGAAGCTGAAGTTAGTCCCACAAAACATACGGTCTCAAGGTCCAGTGTAAGGTGGCTAAGAGAGGGCGAGTGTCTACATTCACACCTGGCACGCTGAGGCTGCCCCCCACCCATTACGAGGGTGGTCAGACATTGAAGATACACCTCAGTCTACAGGAGAAGGGACGAATAGAGCTCCTGGAGACGAGGCTTGAGTCTTAAAACGAAGGCGCTAGCGTGTTTTGTGAGATTTTTGCATAGGGTACAAGAGTCAGTACTGCTCTTCTTTACTTGCCAAAGCCATCATTCTAGACCTCCCTTTTCCTTTTCGCCATAGGGCGGCAACATGAATTTGCAGCATACGCCGTTCCTGGAAGAAGGAATAGTGACAGCCACCCATGTGCCAGATTGCAAACTAAACATAATAAATTCATTGTTCTGACATATGCCGACCTTGTTGCGCGCGAGGGTTTCGGGTTTTTTCGATCTTTCAGAAAACAGGAGCATGGGCTTCGGACATGTTGGACGATTCTTGTTTGCTCTTGTTGTCATCGTTGTGCGCGGAGTGTGCAAGCTTCCTCGAGTCCTCATCGTAGACTGACTTTGCTACTGGCCTATTGCAGGACTCACGTTGCAACATTTGCTTCAAACGAAGAATTGGCTTTGTGTAGGTACATGATGTGCACGCGGTCAGGTGATTGGGCATGATGGTGACGCCCCGACTGAAAGCCCAGGGCGGCTGTTTTAGAAGTTGACCTCTCGTGAGGTGACAGGCGAAATATCGGCACTTTCAAGCAGGTTCCCACTTCCTGATAAAGAGAGAGAGGGATCTAAGGCCACCACAGAACCTGTGCAGCAGTTTGCAGTGAGCTTGTCTGCAATTTGGCTTCTGCCCGTAAGACCTAAGCAGGGGCTATCCTTTCCAGCTTGAATTTAAGTCAGAGCTCAAGAATGTACAAGAGCTGACAAGGCAACAGAATCCATGCTGTTAGCTCCAGACGCGCCATACATTGAGAATCAATCGACCGGGCAAGTCAATGCCTGGAGCAGCGCTGATCTCAGTAACTGTTCAAGGCAATTCCAGACAGCCTCCACTGAGCTGCTCTGGTGGATAGAGTTTGCGAGGCGCACCTGTGGCGGATGAAACTGTCAATGGACCTGCTCTTGCACAACAGCTGCTCAGCGTACCCTGAACTTCAGCCTGGCGGTTCGCCGGGGCTGCCATGGGCATCTGACGGTCACACAGGCCATGTGGAAACAAAACGAAGGCCAGAAGCGCGTAACTTGCGAGAAGTTTTTTTCATATGCAGTGCGCGACGTTTGCCTGCCACCTGGCTGGACACGTTGGCCTGTACAGCAAGGCAGAATGAAGATTTCGAGGGTTTTGCTTGGACGCCAGGACCCATGGATATACTTTGAAAGTAGCCATCTCCAGTGTCTTTTGTACAGGACAGGATGAAAGTGATGTTATGTCCTGTGTTTGCTTTTGTTTTTGTGTTGTTCTTGCTTTCTTTTTGTGAAGACGCTCCAGGGGAGAGCTCCACTTCCAGCGGAAATGCGAAAACTCTCTACGCCAGAGCTTAATTTGAGCAAACGTGTGAGGGCGCTGCACGCGAGCGCACAATTTCGAGCAACAACAAGAATAAGAATCCTAGAGATTAAAGAACCACAATAACAGCAAATGGTGATAAAACAAAATAGTAAGCATAGCAAGCATAGTAAAGAGGGTAATAATCATCGTCGCAATATTCATCACAATAGTCATACTACTAGATAATTTAATCACCTATAAAATTAGAAAAGGCATAACAATAGCAATAAATGCAAAAGACCACTAACAATGCCAAGAATACTAATTGCAGTAAGACGGCTCTTACAAGAGTAATAGCGGTCTTGCAGCAATTGCTGCAAAGCCGCACGGCAAAAAGCGGGGGTAGGGGGAGCAGCCCCGAAAGCCTGGTGCTTGCAATGCCAATCTTGGAGTGCCTCTTGTTGTCCAGACGATCGCTTTGTAGATTGTGCACGGGCTAAGTCATGGCAAAAGCCTTGCAGGTTACAGCACGAAAAAGAGTGCCGAACTGCCAGCACCCTGAGGCAAACACCTGTCAGGCCCAGTGCCTGCGCACGAGCGATCAGTTGTCCCAGCGATCCCTTCACGATGTCCTTGGGAGTTGCTGCTGGTTGGCATCGAACAACATTCATGAGAGCATGACGTCCTGCAACTACTGTTCCAAGATATGCTCCCCCCATCATTCTTCTGCGTGCACTGGGAAGGACGTCGCAGGCTTAAGCTCCACCTCTTCATCCTGTTTGATTCAGCTCCCTCTGTGTTCATTTCAGGAAGAGGCTAGGTTGAAAGCAGATTCGCCAACTCACTGGATCTCAACAGACGTTGACTCAGAAATATGCGCCAAGGCCGGAGGCCTGGCGGGTTTAGATCCAGGTCCGGAGATTAGGAGAGTAATTCAAGCCTCCCCTACCCCCTCCCAACGATTTTGGGGGGGCCAGGGGGGGTTGCGGCGGTTGCTGGGTTCTGCACAGGCTGTCCTGGGGCCGAAATGCAGGGTCACATGGATTTGGGGCCGAAATGGGAGGTGCATGGGCGTTTAGATCCAGGTCCGGAAACTCGGAGAGTAAGTTAACCTTCCTCTACCCCCTCCCAGCGCGCACGAGGGCGCGGGTGTGGGATCGGCTTTTTTAAAGCATTAGCGGTTAAATTAGCGCTGTGCGCTCCACAAAATGTTCAGCCTGGCGTGAGAAACACAACAAGGCCAGCACGCCGCCCAAGACCGCGCAGACTTCAACCGGACGCGCTGTGAATAAATGAAAGCTGTACATGATCGGCGTCTAGGCTGTCATCAAGATGGGTTTAACATGCCGCCGTGTTCCAACAGCCAAGCAAAACATATTCTGGTCAGTGTCATTCCGGCAGTCATTGTAAGCTTAGCTGGAAAAGCCCAGAGAGCAATGGTAGCAAATCTTAGCAAGCAACGGTCTGCAATGTAAGGAAGATAGTTTGAGGTCTCCTGTCGAACTGCGCTTGAGACAGCATATCATTCGAACAGTCGCTAGGTGCCATTGCACCAGCCCCATCTGCTACGGCAACTTCACACACATGTTCTCCCTGGCAAAGGAAGCGGACCGAGTTCAAGAGCTAGCAAAGTTCCGACAGACTTCTGCGAACACCAAGGTGCGAACATATCCGAGTACCACAGCGGGATCAGCAGCTCGTACAACTTCCGTCAGTGCGCCAAAAAGGTCAATCTCTGAGAGAACTTCCTGACAGATTTCTACGTGAGCATGGAACGGGAAGCAACTGAAAACCCAACATGGCTTCAGCCACCCGTCCTTCACGACTATTTCTGGATCAAGATCAAGAGACTGAGAGCCCTGGATGCAGATCAGACCAAGACCGTCCTGCAACAAGCACAAGATCCTTACACTGACTGGCAGATACTACTGCTTTCAGCTCAAGGCCCTGAAAGATTGTGATGCAGGGGCGCAAGGGGGGGGGTGGGCAGTGGGGCCGTGCCACGTCAACATCAAAAGCCCCTGAGCCGCGGTCATGAGGCAGTGCGCAAACTGCTCACGAGCTCATTCCCCACCACAGAGAAGCGCTTGGAAGCTGCCAGGAAAGTAACTATCCAAGCATGGGTAGAGGTGGGGTCAGTGAAACTTATGGGAGGCGGGCCTCAGAGTTGCAGAAACGCATCGAAACACATGATCCTGTTGCCATCCTACACACAACCAACAAATGTGTTGACCCGCGTGGCCCTGCTCTGCATCTCCAGCAAGCTTCGTCGCCTAGCTGAAGCATGTTGAAGGCACCACTCTGGGATGCGCCTTTCAGCCTTGACTTGTATAGCTGTGCTGGTGCTTCACAGGTTAATCTGCAGACTGCCATGGCTAAAGCATTTTTGGGCAGCTACAAGCTCCAAGTGCTACCTTCCAAAGACTCAAAAGTAATCTCACTGCGTTGGCCTTCTTCTGAAAGAGTCTTGTTTTCTGAAAAGCCTGCCCACATGTCCGATGGATTTGATGTTGCTCGTCTGACATTTGGTTTCCCCAATTTTGTTCCGTGTGTTTTCAGATTTCTCCCATTGCAACACATTGTAATGAGTTGCCCTGGTTGGTAGCACTTCCCTCACTGTTTCTTCTGTCCAAGCATGTTAGGTACGCGTGCTCCAAGGTGCTTCTGCTCACGCAGCAGCTTCCGTGTGAAGCAGGAAGATAGCCAAATCTTGCCAACATGTCTTGAAGCATCATGCTGCTTTGATCGCGAGCCAAACAGGAACAGCCAAAGCCTCATACTCCTGCCCGCTTTCGGCAAGTAGGCTTCGCGCCCGTTCCTGCAAGGCCGCCCCACAGCGTTGCAGTCTATCTCTTACTTATCGCAGCTGAGCTACATCACGTATGCAGAAAGCCACAGCACCAATTGCAGAAGGATCTTGCAACCTTTGGCACCATAGACAAGACGTCTGCATCACTGAATCGTCTGCCGGATAACGGGTGCCGGGGGTTGGGGTTTGCTGCAAAGTTATGATTTTGCTTGTGCAAAGACTCCACCTTGAATGTTCCAGGTATGGGCTTCAGAGTTCTAGCTCCAGATGAAAACCAATACGGCAGCAAGGATTATCCTGGGAGACATTATGTTGGAGTCTTTGGAGAGCATGCGGTCTTAGGGGCACATCTTGTTTGAAGGGGTGCCGGCGTTTCTGAATCCCAGGTCTGCATGAATCGTGATCCATTGGCGATGCAGGTTCCAAAACGCAGGCAGGTCGCGGTTGAGCAGCGCCGACCGATGCTGGAAGCTCCAGAACCTGCCGCGTGAATGGATGTGCCATCATGGACAGCTGACAGCCCAGGCACAGCTCACAGAATCCATCACCTCGAGCGTCATAAGGACGCCGAAGAGGGGTGGCGCATCTGCAGCTTGGCACAAAGGCTTGGGCGGAGCGGGCGTCGGTGGCGTTGCCTGCATGGCATTGCAAGGTGCGTCTGCATGCTACTTGCAGCGGTCGAAGTGATGTCGTGCCACCTCCGAAAGTGATGCTTGCCTGCCCCTGCGGAGTCTCTTGCCTGGCCATCATCCAGTGTCAGCCATTCATGCAGAGAAATGCTTCGTGAGCATGTCGCACCATACACCGTCCTTGGTTTTCTGTTGCCGCTTTGCGCCGCAGGGTAGTCAACCGGCCTGCGTTGCTCAATTTGAAAGAGCCCACTAAATAGCAAACTCTATTTGTGCATCGCAAATGGTGTTCCTGTTGTTGTTCTTTAGATCTGCGCGAGCGGTCGCAGCTACGATGTCCAAAACGCGTGCTCATGCGATGAAGATACTGGAGCTCAGTCTGCGGTTTCGCCTTCTGTCTCAAACTGTTCATAGTGATCTCCTTGTTCTGGCTGATGTTCTCTGAGGAAGTTTGAAGAAGTCCGTTCCATTAGTTGCGCAGATTGCCCACAGCAGTCCGTGGCTGATTCAAAACGATGAACGTTGTGCAGCAGGGCAGAATATCGCACACTTTGCACACGTTCTGGACACGGCGAAGAACAGCAGAAGCACTCCGGCCTGTGCTGGGTCAATAGCTCTGAGTCCCTATTTGCAAACAATTGCAATAGCAAAATAAACACGCAGGCCAGCTGCTGGTCTTGGAACCTTTGTTAGTACACCCCTTCACGCATGTGATGTTATCAGAAACTAACTGGAGACGGCCGGACCTGCGTTGTCGAACTTAGTGATGACGTCTTCGCCTGTGAGCTGAAGTGTATCTGCAAGCAAGCCGTGTGTAGAAACTGGGCCTTCTTCATCTTGTCGATGCTTAGCCTGGCAGTGCGCTGTAGCCTGCACAGGATTGCCCAGGGCCCTAACACACATCAAAGTAAACCGTCAAAGCTATGACCGGCTTTCAGTTTGGGTCGCAGTGGATAGCACATGCTTGCGTTTGAAAACGCGCAACTCACAAGTGGCAGGCCCTTGCGGAGATACTTTGGAGGATGGCCCTGGAGATGCTTTGGACTTGTAGAATCGTTACGGAAGAAGGTGACTGGAAGACTTAATGACGGGATGGCAGCCGGAAAGTGAAACCGGCATTTCAAGACCCTTCGGTCCCCGTGTCTCCTTTGCTCATTGTTGTTGATCAGAGCTCCCATGAATGAACACCGAGCATGCAGTCAAGCCAAAACCTGACACAGTGAACGGTCAAAAACCAACATTCAAAGTTCAAAGCAAATGTGTGGCTTCTTGCTTTCTTCTTCGCGTCTGTTCGAGCGCGCTCAAACGCGCGGCGCATTCTCTTGGCAAACCTGTCAGCAATGTGCTGCTTCAGCTGGCTCCAGCGCTGCAAAGCCGCAGTTTAAACCCCCTACTTCACCCCACAAGACTTTCCTTTGTCTGCCTCAACCCACAACCCTTTTTAGACACCCTCACCCGATGCCTTCGTTGTTGACCTCGTGGTGGTTGTGGGAATGGCTTTGCATGCTGGGCTTTGGAAGGTATCAAAACAAGATGTTTCGCTCGTAGGCCCTTTCACCCCAACTCCCTCTGGGCTTGCCCGGCGTTCCCGCCAGGTTTTTACCGGTTTCTGTCTTGGGTTGCGTTCATTTCATAGAGGTGCGCCGGTAAGGGCAGTGGGCAGCGCTACCCTGTTGTTCCTGCATTCTCGTTCAGTACCACCCCTCAGGTGCACTGTCACGCAGCTTTTGCACGCACAATGAAATCTGCTCCCTCGTACACCCCAAAACACTCACGTACCACGTAGAACCCGAGCACTCCCAAAGAAGCACCTCGTAGGAGGGCGGCGGCTGCCAATACTCCCATACTGCGGCCTTTCCAACATGAAAAACAATAAATACTGCCGACATCTAGTAATCAGTCCCAGTCAATCAACAAAGGCTGAAGCGTGCCTGTTCAGCAGCTGGATGTGCAAGATCCCAATCATCCGGCCTTGCCAGCATGACGTCTATTGATAGAAGAAATGCTGATTTCATCTGCATCTGCAATAAACAGCGTTGCATCCCTGAGCGCTACGGACAGATTTCAGTGTGGGCTACTTGTTGCGTGTTGAAGTGTACAACATGTACAAGCTTTGTGCGAGAGCGCAGCGAAGATGTCTGCGAGATAAGTCATCTGGCAGACAGATAGCTTTGCGGACAAACGAAAATGCCGGCGTGCCACAAAGCTACATGATGCCATGGGCGAAGACAAACAATCAGTCAAGTACTTCGAGCATCTCCACCCTAAGGTTGGGTTGGAGGTTTGAACCTCTTTGAACCTCACGTCGCTTTCAGGGAGTTTTCCTTTGTATGCGTTTGCACCCATGAGCTTGGATCCCTAAACCATAGGAAACAGCCCTTGAGATGGGGTATCTGGCACGCAAAGCCCAAGCTTACAAACCTTAAAGTTACAAACTGAAAGTCTCGGAAGCTTTCTTAACCTTGACGGAAGAGAGGTGTGCGTAATTACTAGATTGCTAGAGGTTGTATCGCCAGCAGGTATTGAAACAACTAGTTTGAGACATGCGCCACTTCCGACAAGGAGTAGCAGGGCTGAACAAAGGAGTTGACTACTCTGAGGCTCTGTCTCTTAATGCTACTTACAAAGTGGCTGCAAAGGCTTTATGTATTTCAGCTGGGAATGCGGCTCAGAGTAGAATCCCTTTGCCGGAGGCAAGCTTCCTTGGTAGCAGTAAATAGCTGCCCATTGCGCCTCCCAGCTGCAGCTGGGGCCCTCGCCTGGTTCAGCACTGCTTGATGTAGCGGTGATCGCAGGAAACAATTCAGCCTGTGAAGCAAGCTGATCCCCTGAATGGTCTGGAGTGAGCAGAAGCTGAGAAAGTTACGGGCTTCAGAGGCGATGTGGACATTTTCTCTCCGAGATGTTCTAGCCTTGCAACTTCACATGGCCATCACAGTGCTCCTGCCACCTCCATACTTGTACATGAGAAGTGCAAAGCATCTTTCCTCAGCATGCTGAGTTGCTCACACATCTTGCCCAACGTCCTGCGTGATGTCTGCTGTGCAACATGAATGTGGCAGCGATTAGAATATGCAGGACCCATTGGATGCGGGGGTACTCTCTGGGTGTGAAGTCATGCAGTTTTGAAATGCTGCGTGAACAACATTGAGGCAATGCTGCCGCCAGCTGACTGAGAGAAATCTGCTATAGCACCGCTGCTGCGCTGCAGCACTGTAAGAAGTCATGGTAACACTCGCAGCGCGGCTGCTTCCCCCAGGTGTCAGGGCAACCATGAGGAGACTGAGCAAGCATCGCGGTGCTACACTGCAGCCTCTGCGATGCTGCCAGCACATGCGTGACTGCGCATTGGCTCAGAAGAATGAAAAAAAAACCGGCAGTTTCCATTCGATGCCTCAGTGCTGCACGCACTCTGCTGGTACGGCTGGTCACGCTCGCATGCGAGGTT